AAAAAAAAAAAAAAAAAAAAAAAAAAAAAAGCCCCCAAGGAAATTGGGGCCAGGAGGCTGGAGCACACTTGAGGATGGGGCAAATTGAGGCATGGGAAGGATGGGGACCCAGTCCTCAACTCCCCCATATGAGGGTGTGAGTGGGGATTTGGATTGGGCTAGGCCTGGGGCTGCCCTTGGTTGGAGGAGGAATGGTGTTCTAGAGATCGTCTTTCCATTCCCAGATGCTGAAACACTGTGCCAACTTCCCTCGGGCACTGGAAGTCCTGCTTAATGCCTATCCTTGCATCCCATCGTGTGACACCTGGGTGGAGGCAGTGCTCCCGGAGCTGTGGCAGGTATGACACACAGGGCTCTTGCCTAGGGGTATGAAGAGGAAGGTGAGTCACAGGCCTCTCCCTCCAGAACCAACTTCATGGAGGGAGGAGCAGGAGGACCTTGAGCAGAAAAGGATGAGCACATGAAACCCTTGAGTTACAGGTTCCATCCACTAGTGATATGGGTTGACCTGCAACCCCATGCACCTGTCCAGCCTCTCACCCACAGCTCTGACTTGGGCACTGTGCCAGCATATCTGTGGTACAGACCTGCCTGAGACCCTGTCCTGAAGTGTTAGACCCAGCCCCATTACCACTGCAGGGCCTCTCTGGCTCTGAACCTAAGTCCTTTCAGATGTACCAAACACCCAGGTGTCTACATGTTGCAAAATCTCGGGGCCCCCACCTCTGGGTTGCACCCAGATGGTAAGACAGAGTCAAGGGTGATCCTTTTTCCCTCCTGGCCTAGGAGCACGAAGCCTTCTACAGCTCGGCTGTGAGCATGGTGAATCAGCCGAGGAGGCTGCAGCACCTGGCCCGACTGGCTGTGCGTGTTCAGCTGGGTGGTCGCTGCCGGCAAGCTGCCACCAGGCTCCCACTGCCACCGCTCCTCAGGGACTACCTGCTGCTGCGTGTGGAGGGACGGATCCAGTGAGCCCTGTGCCAGGTCACTGCCAGTGTGTCCTGCCCCCTCCTCTAGAGAACCAATTGCTGGCCCTCTGCATGCTCTCCAGGACCAGCTCATCCCTTCACTGCCCTCCACTGGCCCCTTGATTTTTTCTTTTCCTCAGTACTGGGAATTCAACCCAGAGACTCATGCATGCTAGGCAAGCCCCCAATCTCTGAGCCACACCCCTATCCCCAAGCCCCCCCACTGGATTCTCTTTTTCTTGTGGTACTGGGGACTAAACCCAGAGCCTTGTGCATGCCAGGCAAGTGCTCTGCCACTGAGCTACATCCCCAGCCCCTCCAATGGCTTCTTGAGCCACCTGCTGACCTCCTTCTCCAGTGGAAAGGTTGTACACTCAGCCTGTCCCAGACTCATTCTTTGCCCATTTCCCCATCTTGTGCTGAAGTGGATGGTCCTTCTCCACTTAAGCCAAGAGCTGATGACCCTTGTTGCCTTTTCTCCTTGCTACCCATATACCGGTTCCACCACTGAACAGTGACAGACCCTGAGCCAGGTGTGGTGGTATATATCTGTAATCCCAGCACTTAGGAGGCTGAGGCAAGAGAATCATGAGTTCCAGGCCAGCCTGGATTACACTTAGAAAAAAAAGAAAAATGAATCCTCTAGACCTTGACCTCTGTCATATTTCTTGGCCTCCCAACTCCCTTCCCCAGGTCCTGTAATCCAGATTTAATAAACTGGTACCAGTTGCTGAATCTGACCCACTCTTCTTTGCTTCCAGGTGTCTGCAGGCATGGTTCCCCTGTTTGGAAAACCCTTCCACCTTTTTAGGCCTGGTCAAGGCTGATTTGACCCTCGGGACTTAGTTTAAATAGCACTATCTCTGCAGACCTTCCTTTAACCACCCCAGCAGGGTCCTGCCTTGGCACGGTACTTATTTAAGAACCTGTGTCTGCCTACACGAGGCAGAGGCTGGGACTGTATTCCTTGAACAGGCATTTCAGCAAATGTATGAGGCCTGGGACATTTAGGATGTGTTCCTCCCACCCCCAAGTAGTGCATGGTGTCTTAAACAGCAGTGCTATATATAGATACCTATACACATAACCACCAGCTGTCCCCCTCTCACTTCTGGTTCTGGTCTGAGATTCAGAAGTGCCACCATTCACCTTTAGGAGGAAGCTTTTCAAAGCAAGTCTGTTTTATGAATGCAAATAAAGATTTGCGCACAGAACGAAACTATGGACATTGTTGGCCTTAAATGTGAGTACGGTTCCTGTCACTCCATGTTTATTTTCCCTCTTTGTGCTCTTCTGTGGCATCCAAGTTTTCTGCCCTGAGCAAGTGTTACTGGTGGCAGGAAAAAGGCCATAGGACACAAGGCTCCCCTCAGACCAGAGCCTGTGGTAGAGGGACAAAGGGGTGCACAGCAACCGGTTGGCCTGTCCTTTTCTGGGGGATCCTGAGCTATCCAGTCCTATTGTCAGTTGGAGTGGCCAGCAGAGACAGCAGAGACAGGGATCAGGAGCCTGGGTCTGCAGCCTCCACTCAACCCTTTTCCAGGGACTTGCATTTACACAGATCCCCTTTCACCAGCACTAGACAGTCTTTGACCTGGTTCAGCAGAGCAGCAGCTTCCCCTTTCTAGACAAAGTTTTGTTTTAGTTTTCATGGACCCAAAGGCCTGAGAGAAGAAAAGAAAATCCCCCCTAGTTCTGGGCCCAGCTGGGACCTCACTCCAGAGAACATGCTGAACTTTCTACCCTGCACAGTAGGCAGACCCCAGCAGCCTGGCCTTTTCTGTAACGTCTACAACCTGCTGGAAAACAAACAAAAACCAAAAAGATGTATGTGACTAAATGTATTTTGTGACAGGAAAAGATTTTCCAGTAAAGAGCATAAAAGACTAATTGAGCAAGGCACAGAAGAGGTGTAAATTTGACTTTATAAGCCAGGCACCAGTGGCTCATATCTGTAATCTGAGCTACTCAGGAGGCAGAGATCAGGAGGATCACAGTTCAAAGCCAGCCTGGGCAAGTAGTTCTCAAGACCCTATCTCAAAAAACCGTTCAGAAAAGAAGGGCTGGTGGAGAGGCTCAAGGTGTAGGCCCTGAGTTCAAAACTCCAGTACTAAAAAAAAAAAAAAAAAGATTTAGAGGCAAAAGTCACCATGTTATAGCCACCATAACTGCATATAAAAAAGCATGAAAATACCTAAGTTCAATAGTTTAGGGAAAACAAACATTGCATAAACAACATCATGAAGAATGTCCAAAGAGTGAAGACCCATGGTTGTAGCTCAAGTGGTAGAGCACCTGCATAGCAAACTTAAGGCCCTGAGTTCACATCCCATACCAAAGGAAAAAAAAAAACAAACCCAAAAAACAAAAAACTATGTTGCATGGCTCAATGGTACACACCTTTAGTCCTAGCTACTCCAGGGGTTGAGATGGATCACTTGAGTTCAGGAGTTAGAGATCAGCTAGGGCAATACAGGGAGACAATCTCAAAAAAAAAAAAAATCACCTCAGAGCTAGTGTCTCACACTTACAATCCTAGCTACTTGGAAAGCTGAGATTGGGAGAATGAGAGCTCAAGGCCAGCCCAGGCAGGTATGGCTCAAGTGGTAGAGCACCTGCTTTGCAAGCCCGAAGCCCTGAGTTCAAACCCCACCAAAAAAAAAAAATCACTTTGTGCTGAGGACCTGGCTCAGTGGTACAGTGTTTCCCTGGCACATGGAAGGCCCTGAGTTCATTTCTACCACCACAAAACACAAAACAACAAAGTACAAAAGCAGGGTAAAACAGAAGGGGGCTGTGACTCCCACAGTAATCCTAGCTAGTTGGGAGGTAGAGAACAGGAGGATGGAGGCCAGGTGCAGCCCAGGCAAAAAATTCTGGAGATTTCATCTCAACCAGTAAGAGGTGTGGTGGTTCACATCTGTCACCCCAGCTACCCTGCAAATGTAAAATAGGAAGGACTGAGGTCCAGGCTGGCCTGGGCATAAACTGGAGACCCTATTCAAAAAGCAACTTAAACCAGGCGTCGGTGGCTCACGCCTGTAATCCTAGCTACTCAGGAGGCCGAGATCAGGAGGATCACGGTTGGAAACCAGCCCCGGCAAATAGTTCCGCGAGAACCTATCTCAAAAAAAAACCCTTCACAAGAAAGGGCTGGTGGAGTGGCTCAAGGTGTAGGCGCTAAATTCAAGCCCCAGTGTCGCAATAAATAAATAAATAAGCAAGTTAAAAAGGGCGGGGGGCGTGGCTCCTGCAGCACACAGGCCTGGCAAGCAGGAGACCCTGAGTTAAAATCCCAGTAAAAACAAGGAAAACTAATCTATGGTGATAGATACCAGAAAAACCAGTGATTCTTTGTAGGTTGGTAACTAGAAGAAAACGAGTGTTCACTTGATTCAAACTATCAAAGAGCTCTTCGCTTATGTTTAGCCCTGTCTGCATTATTTATACTTTAATCAGTTCACCAACCGCCCCCGACCCCACATATTTTTAGAAATTTTAATCTCAAAAACCTGGATAAATTCTTGGAAATTGTAATTTGTTTCCTTGCCTGTTTTTGATTGCTTTTCTGTGGGCGTGGTGGTTCATGCCTGCAATCCCAGCTGCTCAGGAGGCTGAGGCAAGCGGATCGAAAGTTTGAGGCAGCCTGGGCAACTGAGACCCTGTCTCAAAATACAAATTTCTTTTATTGAAATAAAACTTTAACTGGAGCGGTAGAGTACTTGCTGAACAGGCTCGAATCCCTGGATTCAGTCCCCAGAACCGCAAGTGGAAAAAAAAAAGCGCTGAATGTGTGTCTGCTTTGAAATGCTTTCCCGCCATATCCATCGAGGTTTCACACTACCTGGAGCCGCACTCCTCGAGAATTGCAAGATGAGTAAAACTTGTGTCCTCTCCCGGACTAACCCAGGGCTGGGTTCTTGCAGGTCAGAAAGACCAGACCTTACTGATCACACTAACCTGGAGGCCGGTGCGCATCGCCGAGCAGTAACAAATCCCATCCGTCCCGGAGGTAGCGAGCGAGGCCCAAAGAATTAGGTTGCAGACTGAACCCTCGTCCAGAGTCCGCCCAGCAGCGCCAGCCTGGGAAACCTTCCAGACACGGGCCACGCCCCTTTCCCAAGCACCTCCCCGGCTCACTCCTCCCCTTCAGGCCTCGGCCTCTCAGCCGGGACGCCTAAGGCCCCGCCCACAAGGCGTGGCTCAGCACCAGGAGGCCCAGGATCCCGCCAACAATGACTCCGCCCCTCCTTCCGCTGAGAAACCTGTCCCTTTTATTTAAAGATACATTTACGTCAGCCCGCCTTACGTAGCGTTGCGTCATTACTGCCAGGCGCGGAGGCAGGACTTCCTGTCCCTCATTCTAACAGTTTCCGGGAAAAACCGGAAGAGACGGGACCCTGGACAGAATCGGGGATAGCCAGCCCCTTCCCCGGCCCCTACGGAAAGACGAGTTTAAGGGCCGTCCTGGCGGAGTCAAAACATTTATCCTGGCCTTGTCAGGTGAGGACCTCCTTCCCCATCGAGGCACAGTAGCAGTCCAAGCCCCCTTTAATTTCCCATAACTCCCTGCGTTCTCAAGCCCCGCCCAGTCCCCCAGCCCCGCCCCGAAGTTTGAGGGGTGTGGATGGTTTGTGACCCCCTCACCTGACTCTACCCATCGCGGGCTTAGAATGGCTGGGCTTGGGTACGACCGCTGGGACCCGGCAACCCTTCGACTCGGGGACTCATGAACTCCATTCTGCTGCTGCGGGAATAAGACCGCCTAGCCGAGGACCCTTCGCCTTAGAAAAAACAGGGCTAGGGACCCCTCCTCACCGCGCCGTCAGAATCGCTCACAAGCTAAGGAGAAAGCAAAGGCCTCGGAGGAAGGAGACCTGGGGACCTGCCCGGCCCCTCCCACCACAGTTCCCTGTGTCTGTGCCAGTCGTTTTGTCTCTCTTCGCCGCAATTTCTTTTTCCTTAAATCACAGTTAGTGACATTAACCTTCTTAGCATCATCAGAGGTTAGTTTTGGGAGTAATACATATTTGCTACCATTTGTTTATTGAACTATTACCATGTGGCAGGCATTGTGCTAATTATTTTGCTTCGATGATTTCACGTCATCTTCAAAGCAACCTTATGAGGTAGGTACTATTTTTAACCCCATTTTACTGATGAGGAACCTGAGGCTCTGAGCAAGTCGTTGGAGGTTACATAGTAATTAGCTATCATTTTCCTCACTCCCGGGCCAGTTTATTAAATAAGGATGTAGAAATTATTCAGATGTTGATGTTTTCCACAAATACTGTTGAAGCAACTACTATGATATTCCGCTGGGCGCTTTGGGACAAAGAGAAAGCCATGTGATTCTTGTCTTCTGGGAGAGTAATAGAGAGATGGACAGGTAGATAAGCATAATGAAGTTTTATAGGTGCTGTGAGAATAGCCGGATAATGATAATCACTAGATGCATTTGCCCGGGGACAGCTGTGAGAGCTGCAGATTCTCCGAGCGAAAGAGTAGGTACTCCAAGGAGCAGGCCGAGATCCTTCTTGCCTTTTGAAGAAACTGCAGAGGGAGAACCTTCACAGCACCAGGAGACCCTGAGATGGGGCTTGTGAGATCTGCTGTCATTTCCTAATCAATTCACTTATGCAGTGGTTTCTGCTGTCGTGACCCCAGGGTGACCCAAGAGGAGTCACCTCGTGCTTGTCCCATGTGGCTCCCCAGGTCTTGCCAGAAGGGTTTCAGAGGCGGCATAGTGTCTTGTCTGCTGGTGGCCTCTGCAGAGTTGTCCTTTTGGGTGATCAGACTCTGCTGTGGATGGTAGGTCAGTTTTCTTTGGTTCTTGAGATCTGGCATGGATTTGTGACCACCTATGAGATGGGAATCAAATGAGACAATCTGGCAAGGGTGGCTGCACAGTCTTTCCAGAGGAGCTCCAAAATAAAAGATTCAGCCTTTCGGCCTCTCTCTAGAGGCTGCTCAGAGGACATATGTACTTGTCCAGGTGTTAGAAATCCCAGGAAAACTCTGGGCTCACAGAATTCCAGATGTTTTTCCCCACCAATAAGCAACAAGCAGTAGTAGCTGTAGCAGCAAAGCTGTGAGGTTTTCCTTATTATTCGTGCTCATATTCATGCTCCCCCTTGTACAAGACACCAAGCTCGGCCAGGCACCAGTGGCTCACACATGTAATCCTAGCAGAGATCAGGAGGATCAAGGTTCAAAGCCAGCCATGGCAAATAGTTCAAGAGACCCTATCTCGAAAATACCTAACTCAAAAAAAAAGGGCTGGTGAAGTTGCTCAAGTTGTAGGTCCCGAGTTCAAGCCCCAGTGCCACAGAAAAAAAAAAAAAAGATAGCAAGCGCCTTTTTTTTTTTTTCCCATGCTGGCTCAGTTAGAATGTAAACAAGTTAGAAACGCAGTTGTAACCCCTCAGGCTCTGCTGATACTCTCTCCCTTTGTTCCTGCAGTGTGGACCCTGTCAGCAACCAGGCCATGGAGCTCTCTGATGTCACCCTCATTGAGGGTGTGGGTAATGAGGTGATGGTGGTGGCAGGTGTTGTGGTGCTGATTCTAGCCTTGGTCCTAGCTTGGCTCTCTACCTATGTAGCAGACAGCAGTAGCAACCAGCTCCTGGGCACTGTTGTGTCAGCAGGTGACACCTCTGTCCTCCACTTGGGGCATGTGGACCAGCTGGTGGCGGGCCAAGGCACCCCAGAGGCAACTGAACTCCCCCATCCATCAGAGGGTAATGATGAGAAGGCTGAAGAAGCTGGCGAAGGTGGGGGAGACTCCACTGGGGAATCTGGAGCTGGGAGTGGTATGGAACCCAGCCTTGAGCATCTCCTTGACATCCAAGGCCTGCCCAAAAGACAAGTGGGCCTGGAGAGTGGCAGTCCAGAAGACCCGCTGAGACCAGAGGAGAGCACTTGCCTCCCTCCCAGCCCCGGCTTCATCAATGTGCGGCTCAAATTCCTTAATGACACTGAAGAGCTGGCTGTGGCCAGGCCAGAGGACACTGTGGGTGCTCTGAAGAGGTGAGTGTGTTGGAAAATGGGAGGCTGCTTGTGCCCTGTGCCCATAGACCTTGGCTCTGAATGCAGACGGGAACAGTAGGAGAGTGTAAAGGCAAGCCCCTACTAAGGGCAAGTGGGAGACTTCTTAGAAACCCACCTGTCAAGTTTCTCCCCTCTGCCTTGCTTTCTTGGTGCAGGCCTGTTTATTCTTTCATCCTTCATCCTGTCTTTTCTTCCATCTTTTATCCTTGCAGCAAGTACTTCCCTGGACAAGAGAGCCAGATGAAACTGATCTACCAGGGCCGCCTGCTGCAGGACCCATCGCGCACACTGCGTTCCTTGAACATTACCGACAACTGTGTGATTCACTGCCACCGCTCACCCCCAGGGGCAGCTGTTCCAGGTCCCTCAGGCTCCCTGGCCCCGCCAGCCACTGAACCACCCAGCCTTGGTGTTAATGTGGGCAGCCTCATGGTGCCTGTGTTTGTGGTGCTCTTGGGTGTGGTCTGGTACTTCCGTATTAATTACCGCCAGTTCTTCACAGCACCTGCCACTGTCTCCCTGGTGGGAGTTACAGTCTTCTTCAGCTTCCTAGTATTTGGGATGTATGGACGATAAGGACATAGGGAGAAAATGAAAGGCATGGTCTTCCTCCCTTATGGCCTCCCCGCTTTCCTGGCCAGATCTGGGCCCAAGGCCCTGGGAGGGAGAGACGAAAAGGATGTGGTGGGTATCATGTCCGTAAGATACGGGAGGCAGGTGGGGCATCCCCTCATGTCCACAGGGGTGCAGACATCCCCTCTGTGTAAGCACAACTCAGGTAGACACAGGGATGTCATCTTCCTTCTCTAAGAGTCCAGAAGGAGTTCAGAACCATTGGCCAAGCTCATTGGGAAGCCTGGGCTCTAAGGATTCCCTCCCAGTTGTGCCCCTAGCCTTTCCAGCATCCTGCATGTCTGCCTCCTAGCACCTAGGAGTGCCTGCTGGGGCAACCTAGCATGGCCCCAGCATACTTCTGTAATGGAGCATCTCTCCACTCCTTAGTTGAGTGTCTATCTTTTGAGACTGAAATTGCATAGGGATGAAGACTGCAACCTTTACTATAGATACCCAGCCACTGCCACCTCCTCCCTCTACCCCTTTGACAGGAATAGGGTGTTCTCCCTTCTTTCAAAGCACTTTGCTTTTTTAAAAATAGTCCTTCACAGAGCTCAGTCAGAAAGGGGTTGATGCACAAGGCCAAGCCCCCAGCATTGGGAGAGGCCAGGCCACAGCTGCTGCTACCCTAGGCCTAAGGCTGTAAGAGAGCATTGGCCTTCAGCCAGTGTCCTGCCCTGCCCAGCTCCAAGGACAAGCTCTGGGTATGGGTCACCAGGCTCTAGGCCCTTGCCTTTGTGGCTCTTGGATAGTATCTGTGAATAAACTTCCATTTTGTGGCTGTGGCGCCTTCTGTGACATAAGAGAATGGCTTTGCTCTGCCCTCAGCAACATGGTAATGAGGGTGGGTAGGCCAGGCTACCAATGGGAGATGCAGTTTATTTACACCAGCAGCCATGGGGGCAGAGGGAATACACAGCGTTTACAAAGTTAGCTACCTGTACAGGATGGATTACATATGCAAAAATAAAAATCTCAAGACCACAGGACAGCGTGAGCCCCACCCCCCCCTCCCCCAATGACCCCAGCATGCGGTAATGCCAGGCGGGTGGCCCCTGGGCATGCGGGGGGGAGTGATGCATGGAAGGAAAAGCCACCGGCCATGGAAATTAGTACAGAACCCCCGCCACACACTCAGACACATGATAGGATACAGGGTGGACGACACCTAGCCAGGGTGGGGAGGATGGGAATTGAAACCCACAGAGCCTGCTGTTAGAGTGGGGAGCTCCTAGCCCCTGTTCAACTACGTGGTGGGGGTGGGAGGCACTCTCTCCAGAAGGAAAGGGGTTTGTTCCCTCAGGGTCCCTGCTGGACCAAGCCCATCTCTTACCCAGCCTGGGCAGGGGGCTCTGCCCTGAGGGTGGGCCAAAGAACAGTGGGGAAGTTTATGTGGACAAACCAGTTTCCAAAACTACTCCCCACTTCTCCCTCCTCCAACTAGAAGGGCAGGGCGAAAGGAAGAGGCCAGAGGGGACAGGGTGAATTAGGGCCTGAGCTGCAGCTGCCTCTCAAGGAAGAGTGGCCTCTTGGCCTTCCTCCCCTCACCTTCAACAGATTCCAAGCATGTACTTGGAAGCCACTGGAAGCTCACTGAACTCCTCCTCTCCCTCTGGCTTCCCTTTCTAGGGAGAAGGATGTGGAGGGCCAAGAACAGAGGAGCCCAGGCCCCAGAATTTATTCTAACTTCTGCCAAAATTGGCTTGGCTTTTTAAAAAATAATCACAATACTTGGGTTAAAAACCAATTTGTAACCAGGCATCAGCCACAATCAGAACAACCCCAGGGGGAGACTGGGGTTCTAGATAGGGTATGCAACCCTATCTGTTGTTCCCTTAACCCTCCAGGGTCCCTAACCCAAATCAGTCCAATCAGTCCTGGGTACTAGCTACCCAAATGTGAGAGTGGCAGGGGGCATGTCCAGCAAGTGCCAGAGAACTCGGCTCAGGGTCAGCTCCATCCCTGTCAGCTCTGCTCCCAGCCCAGACCATGGTCCTCCAGTTCGGCTCCGGGTGGTGATGGTGCCCACATGGAGGTGGGACAGTACATCTCTTCAGGATGTAGGTCAGACAGGTGGGCACCCTGGCATGACATTCCCACAGAAGGGCAATGACACCCCAACCCCTCCACTGACATCCTGAAACACAGCAACCACTCTCTTCCCACCCCACTCCTAGCAAAGGGGGAGAGGCACAAGATTTAAGATTTTCCTCAGAGCCCCAAACCACAAGTACAGAATAAATAACTTAAAAGCGGCAAAGGAAAGGGAAATAGGGCAGGCTTTGGAGGCAGGAGCACTGAGAGGAACTGAAGCTGGTCAAGGTGAGGGGGTGGCAAGCAGCAGCTGGGAACTCAGGCTGCCCCAGCAGGGCAGGGCAACAGGGCAGGGTGGGCAGGAGGAACATGGGGCCACCCCAGGAGGGTGAGGCTGGGCCCCTTCCTGGGGCAGGGAATGAGGTAAGAAAACATTTCAAATAAAGCAGCACCGTTCCCTCTCACCTTGGGGCCCCACTCCTCACCAGTCCTGGGTGTGGGAGGGATGGCAGGGGGAGTAATTTTGATCCGCAGCTCCCTCTTCCTACCCTCCCATTCCATCCCTTGAAGCTGTAGAGACTGAAGGCCCTTTCCTGGCACCCAACAAAAGGACAGCTCCTGCTGCCAAGGAGGCCCCTGGGGACTGAAGGGAAGGGCTGCCCCTGTGAGGGGCAGGAAAGGCGGCGGCAGTTCTGGGCGCCTACCTCAGCACACAGTACTCTGTGCCTGCCGACCCCTGGGACTGGGGGCATCTGACAGGACTGCACACAGACAGAACACGCACAGCCTTGCCCCTCAGCTCCAAGCACCGGACCCATTCACATTGCTGAAGGCAGCTGGGGGAGACCCCCTCCAGGCTCAGCTTCTAACCCACGGCCTCCCAGGTAGCCACAACGCCCCTCAGCAGGGCTTAGTCCAGTTCCTGGGGTGGGGGACAGGCAGTGCCCTGGCACAGTGCCCAGGTCAGGCCCCTGGCCTAGCTGGACATCCAGTAACTCACAGAATAAATAGGAAAACTGCCTCCCCACCAAACTTATGTCCAAGGCATAATACATCCAGGTCTGAGTCCTGCACACCAAGGGGTCGTGCTTCATTGCAGAGGACCTTGACACCCCCCAGGGGTGCATAACTAGATCCTCTGCCTGCGCGGCCCACCAAGCTTCCCAAGCCCAAACCCCCAGCAGCCGTCCATGTGCCAGGCTATGCCACCTGGGTGGGGGTCGGGAGAGAGGGCTCTGCTCAGCCAAAGGCTATCCCTTGCACCCGAGTCAGTTGATGTCATCATAGATGCTGGGCGTTGGGGGAGCCGGTGGCTTTGGCTTCTTCTTTTTGTTGGAGCCCAGGCTGGAGGCAGTCCCTACCAGGCTCAGATGGGATTTCTTTTTCTTGGTTTTCCGTGACTCAGAGCTGTTGGAACCTGAAAAGAGGCACGATGGATGAGTGGTGTATAGAAGGAGAGGTGGTGCCCCCAGGCCTTTGGGCAGCAAGCCCCTGGGACCCAACTGCACCCATACCTAGACCCCATCCCTGATTTTCACTCGTCTTCGAGGAGCCTGAATCAGAAGGTGAGAGATCAGAGGAGCCATCCCACTGAAGCCGGCTGATCAGGGCCTGGCTGTCAGTCATGTCAAAACTGTCATTATCCAGGGAGCTCTCGACCTCCGGAAGGACTCTGGAAAGGGAAGGGCCCAAAGAAGGGGTTTAGGATATTGATCCCCATCCTAAAACACGACAACCCATCACCCATCTGACAGAGTCACTTACGCTGAGGGCCCAAGGAAATAAATCCGCACAGTTCGCCTCTGCTCATCAGTGTGCTGGGGGCAGCGCAGGGACCTGGTGGGGACAGAATTATCAGACCCTGACAAGGAAGGGAAGGGGTGAGTGGAGAGCCCTAGAGGGTGGCCTAAGTAAGGCCTGACTATTGGGAGGGGAGGGAAGTGGAAGGGTAGGAATCCCACTGCTCAAATCCAGGCATAATCTGGACCCATGTGCAGGACCAGCCCATAGCCCCATTTCTTATTTCTGTGCTCACCTTGTGCACATCTTCTTGGTGTGTTCAGAAATCACCCCACATTGCTGGAAGAGGAATATAAGCTGAAAGGAGGGATCAGGGGAACCTGCAGGGGAACCTACTCTAGACACTTTTTTTTTTTTTTTTTTTTTTTTTTTTTTTTTTTTTT